ATACGCAAAGTCAGAAGGGGACATAAGTATTTTTATGCTTATCATTTACTAGTGTTCAATTTGAACCTAATCCCATAAATAGACATATGGTACCACACCATGTTGAATGTGGTATGTACGTGGTTAATAAATCGCAGTTGTTGGACTCATTTGAAACCCAAACAACTGCCATATATCCCCGTTTAAATGACACCTTTCCCTAGCTAGTGATGAACCTGCAAAAGCACTAATACTACTAGCACTGTAGCACGCAACGTGCGGCCTGTTCCTGATCCTTAAATTTTATTTCTTCTTATCTACATTAAAGCACTTCCTGGCAATTGTTATATAGAAAGCAAATTTGAAAGTAACAACACTAAAACAGTTGTTTAGGTGATTCCAAGCATACCATAATTCCCATTCTATCAAAATTTGAATTGTCAACTAGGCTCAGTCCCATTACTTCTTTAGTTTTCTATTATTCCAAGATTTGAATTAGAGATTTCATAGAATTTTTATCACACTATATGTTTTTTTTTAAACTAATTTTAAATAAATAATAATTCTTGAGACTTAAATTTAAGATAAATTTTTGAAGTGTAAGTTTTTTTAATCATTGGTTCTATATATTGGTCTAAATGAGAGTCACACTATGATCAATAACTATCATAAATTTTTGTTCTAAAATTCAATCCTAAAATTTAGTCATAACTATCATTATTCATTTTAAATATGATTTATAAACTGTTGATGAAGATTAAAATTTACGAGGGACTATTCAATTTTTCAGCTTTAAAAAAAAAATTACATTTTGGAAAAATAAATAAATATATATTTTTTTGACCAGGTAGATAGTTAAGAAGTTAGTAGAGTTAGTTTGTTAGCAGCTGGAAAAATAAATATTGAAAACAACATCAGCACATAAACACATTACATATGAATACTCAGCATGCGGTATGTCCCTGTTTTAAATGGAAGACAAAATAAATAAATAAAAACACTGGGAAAATTTTGGAGCGATTCAGCTTTCACTGCTCCCATGGAACTCAGTAGATCATTCTGTTGTTCTTCCGAACCCCAAGTTTTTCCTCATTCATCCATTTCTTGCCCTCGATTTAGTAACAAGCAAAACCAAGTCTTGGATTAATAGTTTAATTATTTTTCTTTGGTTTAATACTTGGACCAACTTGTGTGCATAAACTAAGTCAATCTATGTGATATGGATTATTAAAAGCATGTTAGTCACTTGGTTAAGTTGATTTCCACGATGCATGCTTACATTGAGAAAAATGGAAGTATTTTTTTTTTAGCTAAATTGTACGAACCAAAAAAATTGGGGGATTTCAATGTTGCCTTTCACTTTCACCTCATTTTCAATGTACTGCGCTGGTTCCAAAAAGGTTGGACCATTTGCAAGCACTCGAAGAACTTGTTTTTTCATGTGAGCAACTTGTTTTTACTTCAGGAGGCCAAAAAAAAAAAACAAAAAAAAAATTTCTGTATGGTATGGTATTCCAAATCAACTAGATCTCAATTCGTGCTTCGCG